GATCTGATTATATCTGTGAGTTAAGAATCAGAGCACACCTACCTAGTCGGGTTTTCGGCCTCAGAGTTTCTTATAGCACTGCAATTTAAGTGTTGGCAGGAGCTTCAGTCTTATCTGAAGACATAACTGGGAAAGGATCCTTCCAAACTCACTCATGGCTGTTGGCAGGCTTTGGTTCCTCACAGGCTGTTGTTCTGAGGGCCTTAGCCCCTTGCTGGCTGCTGACCAGGGTCCTCCTTCTGGTACTTGCCATGTGGTCTCCCCTTGGGCAGCCCACAACATGTCAGCTGGCATAAAGTATGATTTATTACAGCAGATTTAAAATGTTTGTGTAGAATAAACCTGTTTTCATAAAATTGTTCTTAATTCTGTGGCGTTTATTCGTTTGCACATAATTTGCTTATTTTAAAGGCCCAGGCAGTCATCTGTTTGGTAAAGGTGTTAGAAGGTGGTGTTTAGTGGCAACATGCATGTTTAGAAAGTCTTTTCTTAGTCTTCAAGTAGCATAGAGTCTACACTGTAGACCACACAACAGGTGTGAAATCAACCTTGGTTAACTAACTGAATTTATCAATCCAAACAAATCAATTCCAGTGTATTTTAGATTATAAGTGTATTATAGTAGGTAAGAATAAAGATTGTTTCTTTATTTGTTTACATTGATATATAGGTTAAATACAAAATGAAAAGGAAATATTTAAAGTTCTGACTCAAGTATTCAGGCAAATAAGTATACAAATAAGTATAAAGCACACTGCTAATGTGCTTTAACCTTATTCATCCTGCACTCTAGACACCTTTAAAAAAAAAAATTGTTGTGTGTGTGTGATCACAGCATAGCCGTTTATAAAAATAACTTTCCAGAGAACACAGGTGACAAATGTTATTCGATGTATAAAGTAAGAGTATCGTCAAGATGTTTACCTTCTTTCATTTATTGAGAATTTCTGTGGATGAAGATTTATGCTCAGCTCTGCGGAGGATTCAAAAATGAATCCAATCTCTGCCTCATGGAAATACTTACAGCATTGAAATCAGAGAAACACAAGGTAATGTACTGTAATTTCTCTGGGCTTCAGTTTTCTCATCTGTATCACAAAATAATGTTAATACTTATTTAATGTTTCATAAAACACTTGAGGTACATAATATATGTGATGTTTCTTGAACATAGTGAAAGTTTGATAAATACAACTGCTCACCTTGCATCTCTATGCGCATGTCTACTTGTCACTTTAGGAGTTAGTAGGAGAGAGAGGACAATGGCTCAGATAATTGAAGCACGAGGTTGAGAGTGGCAAATGCCATATGAAAAGTAGATAAATTACTATAGGAGTTTAGAAAATGAAAATATGTTTTTGGAATTGTTTCAAGATGATGGACTGAGCATATTATACAGACTCTGGCTCCCCCAATAGACCTTTAGAAAATATGGAAAATATATTGTTTGTGGAAAGTTAAGTTAAAAATAAGTTTAAAATAATTTGAATTGTTGTAAAGGATAGATTTTTTTTCTGCATCTTTTGTAAGTTTGAGTTTCTGTCTATCCTGTGGTAAGGAGTCTTCATATAGATGGTCACTCTAATTCTGTCTTGGATGACAATAACGTTTTCCTCCTAGCCCCAAAACAAGATATAAGGACTGTCAATAATTATTACAAAAATGAGAAAAATTAAAATAAGACAGTAAACACCAAACAAGTAAAACAAATATAAAATTTTGCATTTAGAAAATGTATAAAATCCATATAATTAGACATAAAAAATATTGACCTTTGAATAGGCAACCCAAGGATTGGGAGAAAATATTTTCAAAGCATACATCTGATAAGGGCTAATATCAAAAATATATAAGGAATTCAAACAACTGGATAGCAATGAAACAAAACCCAATCAAAAATGTGCAAAGAAACTAAATAGGCACCTTTCAAAAGAAGACATACAGATGGTCATCAGATGCAAGACAATACGCTTATCATCACTAATCATCAGGAAAACGCAAATGAAAACCATAATGAAATATTATCACCACCTGTTAGAATGGGTGTTACCAAAAACAAGAGATGTTAAGTGTTGGTGAGGAAGTGGAGAAAAGGAAACCTTTGTACATCGTTGGTAGGAATGTAAATTAATACAGTTATGATGAAAACCGTTATGAAGGTTCCTTAGAAAATAGAACTATCATATGTTCCAGTAATCCCATTTCTAGGTATATTACCAAGGGAATTGAAATCAGTATGCTGAGGAGAGATTTGCACTCACATGTTTATTGCAGCATTATTCACAATAGCCAAGACATGGAAGTAACCTGTCCATCATCAGATGAATGAGTAAAGTTTGGTATACATACCTAATGGAATATTACTCAGCCTTGTAAAAGGAAATCCTGTCATTTACAACAGCATGGATGAACCTGGAGGACATTATGCTAAGTGAAAAACGCCTGGCACACAAAGACAAATGCAGTATGACCTCATTTATATGTAGAATTGAAAAAAAAGTTGAACTCCTACAAGTAGAGGGTAGAGGTCTTGCAAGAGACTGGCGGAGGGGAAGTTAATGGAGATAGGAGAGATGTTGATCAAAAGGTACAGTTTCCACTAGAGAGGAGGAAAAAGCTTTAGTGATCTATTACACAGAATGCTGACTATAAAATTTATAATGCGTTGTATATTTTTAAAAATTTATCTTTGAAGTATAACCCACAATCTTGTCCTTTTCAATTTTATAACAATTATAAACATATGTGCAGTATGAGAAATAATTTTTTGAATTACAGCTTAAAATCCATGCCCTGAGAATATAAGACAAAATATAAAAGACCCTTTGCCGATTTTTGTGTCCAATTCCTGTGCATTGCTGCAATATGAGTAGAGAGCTGAAAGAGTGTCTTTTTTGTCTTTGAAATAGATGTGAATGGCTTTCATATTTAAGTCTCTTTTCTCTATAGCTATCCTGTCTTAGGAATAGAAAAGCTGATTGTTCAAGCTGATTGTCAATAGTAAAGGCTGACTGAATATATAATACTGTGCTTATGGTTCCTTCCATGCATTGATGGTGGTACAATGACTATCTTTCTTACTGTTGTTGAGTGTCAACAATGAGGTGTAGTTTGAAATTTAGAAGCACTGCTGTTTGTAAACCTGAAACTTACGAAACATGGATGTATACTTAGACGATGATGATGATGATGATGATGACGACGACAATAATAACCATTTTGAACAGTTGCTATATATGCTAGGCACTTTTCCAATTGCTTTAGATGCAGTTTAATCTCCACATTACCTTACAAAGTAGTTTCTGTTATTGTTTCTCATTTTATAGATGAGGAAACTGAGTCAACAAAAATTTTAGGATTTGTCTTTAACTCATAGATTTGGTAAGTAGCATACCTAAGAGTCGGTTTCCATAGCCTAATCTCTGACCTGTAATAAACTCTTGACTTCTACACTATACTGCCTCTCAGGTAAGGGTTCTAGGTATTAGATTATGTGTGGAATTGATCTCATTAAAACTTATTTTGGGCTTGGATCTGTATTTCTCATATTTCTTTTTCTTACTGACACTGAATATTCCTGTGATGTAGTATATTTTTACACACTAGACTAGGGAAATAGGAAGGTATCATTTTGATGTGTCGATGTGGGTGATCATGCATCAAAATTATAATTTACCTCTCCCTAACATTTACAAGTTTCATCCAACCGGGGAAGGAGAGAAAGCAAACTAATAGCAGGATCTTCTCAACCTTGAAACAAGACATGGAATGCTCTGCTTTTGTGAGACCTGGGTGATATTGAAATTTTTCTTTCCATTTGAGCCTAGCTCAAGTATTCTTTATGAATTTGTAATATACAGTCAAAAGGTGCCTTCCTGAGCCTACTTAGAAAACAGTGTTTATGGCTGACTCTTTTTATATATAACTTCCTCTTCATACTTGCATGTCTGTGGAAGATCTCTCTCTCTCTCTCTTACTCTGGGTTTAATCTTTTCTAGTAGAAGAGTTATGCCTCTAAATACTTAGACATGTATTCTGTACTATTGTTCTATGATCAGAATTCTTTATTTGAGATATGCTACATGTCAAAATTAAAGGCAACTACAAGTATATCAGTATTGATGTTACCTATGAATGAAATAAAACTCCAAGATAATTTTTGTCAAACTGGATTTAAAAAATAAAGCCCAACTATATGCTGCCTACACATACATACATATATTCCAATTATATACGTAAAATTGAGAGTAAAAAGATGGAGGTATATGCCATAAGAACGTTTAAAAAGACAGATGCTATGGCTATGCTAATAACCAAACTCATTAGAGTTTAATGTAAGAAGTATTAATGGACATAAAGGGGGCCACTTCATAAACTCAAAATGATCAATTCCAAAGGAAGTTATCACAATCTTAAACTTGTTTGCATCAAGTAAAATGATTCAAAAGGAGGAATAAAACTATTGTTATTGCAGATGGCATGATTATATGCATAGAAAATCCAAAGCCACCTATGTACAAACTATTAGAATAAATTAATGAATCAAGCAAAGGTCAGTGGATGTACTGTAAACACATAAGAATCAATTTTATGTGCGTGTGTATATGCCACAAACAAAAATTATTGAAAAATAGCATTATGAGACCATAAAAAATGCCGAACACCTAAGGAAATAACTACAAAAATTGTGCATGACTTCCAGATAGAAAAGTATGAACAATTACTGAAAAAAAAAACAAAACTAAGGAAGACCCAAATAAATGGAGCTATGTAACATGTTCATGGCCTGGAAGACAGAATATTTAAATCTGTCAGTTCTTCTCAAATTGATCTATGGCTTCAAAACAATTCCAATTTGTGTGTGTGTGCATGTGTGTGTGTGAAAATCAACAGGCTGATTCTAAAATTTACATGATAATGAAAGGAATTCATTATTTTTCAGACCTTGAAAATCTTGAAGCTCAAAGCTTTACTCAAAGCTTTAGGGCTTATAATACTACATTTTTCAAATATTTCCCCACCCCCCAGCTTTATTGAGGTAATCAACATACAAAGTGGTATATATTTAAGGTGAATAATATGACCTGATATACATATATATTGTGAAATAATTACCAAAATCAAACTAGCTAACACATCCATCATCTTACATAGTAATCTAAGGTAATCATTTTTTTGGTATGTATTTGTTGAGAACCCTTGAGATTTACTTTCAGCAAATTTCAAGTATACAATATACAAATATGGTATTATTAATGATAGTTACCATGCTATATATTAGATCTCCAGAACTTATTCATCTTGTAACTGAATGTTTGTCTCTTTGACCAACATCTCCCTTTTCCTTCTTTCAATTCTCTTCTTCCTGCTCCCAGCCCCTGGCAATTACTACTGAGTCTCTGCTTCTGAGTTCAACTTTTTCAGATTCTACATATAAGTGAGATTATATAGTATTTGTCTTTCTGTGTCTAGCTTATTTCTGTTTGCATAATTTCCTCCAGATTCATCCCTGACATCTGAGATTCCAGAATCTTCATCTTTTTATGACTGAACAATATTCCATTGTAATTGGTATCTTATCTTTATAGATAGAGAGATGTATAGATATCACATTTTCTTTATCAATTCGTCTTAGTCCATTTCGTGTTGCTGTAAGGGAATACATAAAGCTGAATAGTTTATAAAGAAAAGCAGTTTATTCGGTTCATGATTCTTCTTGCTGGAAGGTTCAAGATAGGGAATGTGGTGAAGGCCTTGGACTGCTTCTACTCATGACGGAAGGCAAAGGGGCGCTAGTGTGTGCAGATATCACCTGCTGTGAGAGGAAGCAAGAGAGAGATGGAGAGATGCCAGCTTTTTTTTAATAGCCAGCTGTCATGAGAACTAATAGAATAAGAACTCCCTCACCCCCAAAAGAAGTAATTAACATATTGATGAAGAATCTGCCCCCATGATCCAAATACCTCCTATTAGGCCTGGTCCCCAACACAATGACACTGGGGTTCAAATTTCACCATGAGATTTGGTGGAGAAAAACAAACAAACCACATATAAATGATAACACTATTTATTTATTATGGAAACTGGTTTACTTCATATCCTGGCCATTGTGAATAATGTTATAATAAACATGGGAATGAAGCTCTCCCATTTCCTTTGGGTATATGCCTAGAAGCCTAGAAGTGATATTCCTGGACAATATGGTAGTTCTAGTTTTAAATTTTTGAGGCATCCAAATTCTGTGTTCCATAATATTTGTATGAATTAAATTTTCCACTATCAGTGTCCTAAGGTTCTCTTTTCTGTATCCCATCACCAATACTTGTTATCTTTTTTTTAAAATAGCCATCTTAACAGGCATGAATTAATATCTCATTGTGGTTTTAATTTGTATTTTGGTTATGATCAGTGATAACGAACAGATTTTCATACAGCTGTTGTCCAATTCATTGTCTCTTGAAAAATGCCACTTCAGATCCTTTGCCCATTTTTAAAATTGGGTGATTCAAGTTTTTTACTTTTTTTTGACACTGTGTTGTTGGGGTATTTTTACATATATTTCAGTTTTAGCCTGTTATCAGATACAAGGTTTGCAAATATCTTCCACACCATAGGTTGGGATTTTGTTGACTTTTTCCTTCAGTGTGCAGAAGCTTTTTAGCTTGATTTAATCCTACTTGTCTATTTTTGCATTTATTACTTATGCTTTTGTTTCATATCCAAAAAAATCATTGCCAAGGTCAATGTCAAGGAGCTTTTTCCTATATTTTCTTCTAAGAGTTTTACAGTTTCAGGTCTCATATTCTGTACTTTATGCATTAGATATTCTACTTATTAACTTTGAATTTTAAAGGTGCAAGATAAATATTTCAACTTCATTGAGATAGTAACATGTAAAATTTAGAAAACTGTATTTAAAGTGGTTGCCCTGAGCACATAAGTAATGTCTTAACTTGGCAGTTATATCTTAGCAACCAAATTTTAGTTTGACACATTCTTCTTGAAAATGTACTGGAAAAGGAACTGAAGATATCTTAGCCCTTAATGAGTTAAGGTGTAAAAATGGGGAGAAATATTAATAAATCGCACTGTTAGTTTATTATAATTTTTATAAGTGTTATATAGAACCCATACATAATTCTAAGAGGAAGTATAACAAAAATACGTAAAGCAGTACCATGACTGACACATAGTATGCTCTCAACAAATGTTTACTAGTTTTTAACTACCTAGATCTTGAGTTAATTCTCCCAGACAATAGAGTTGTAAATATTCAGTCATTTTACCTTGCTGCTATTTTATCTTAATAACCTGGCAAAATCTATTTGCTGTGATAACAGTTAATGTTATGAGAAGACCTAGACTAATGAGTTAGAAAGAAAGGCTTTCTTGAAGAACTGATTTTTGAGTGAAATATGAAGAATTAAAAAAAGATTATAATTAGTCGCTCTTAGTTAGGGAAGGAGGTTTTAATTAGAGGGAAAAAGCAAAGAATCTGTGACAGAAAGGGGCATATCTATTCAGAGTGAGAAGAGAAATAGGCAGGTGGCACCTTTTAGACTCTGCTAATGATTTTTAGAGTAGAATAAGAAAAATGAATTAGAAAAGAAAACAGAATAAAAAATGAGAATAAGACAATTGAGAAGCTATTGAAAGTTTTTAAGCCAAGCTTGTCCAACCTGTGGTCCATGGGCCACATGTGGCACAGGATGGCTTTGAATGTGACCTAACACAAATTTGTGAATTCTCTTAAGACTTTTTGAGGTTTTTTTTTTTGTGATTTTTAAAAAGCTCATTAGCTATTATCAGTGTTAGTGTATTTCGTGTGTGGCCCGAGACAATTCTTCTTCCAATGTGGCCCGGGGAAGCCAAAAGATTGGTCACTCCTGTTTTGACCCAAGAATTAAAAAGATAAGATTTTACACTTTAAAAAAATCTTCTGGTTCAAGGCCAGAGAAAACTTTGGAGGGAGACAGAAGTAGAGCAAGGAACTGGATACAAGGTAAGAGTTTGAGGTATTTTGTCACAAGGTAGTTCAAACATTTGGAGTGAGATTTCATAATCAGTCCTGTTATCTGTTAGTTGTGTGATTGTTTATCTTTTCTCACCCTGTTTTCCAATATATATCCTGGGGACAGCCATTATAACCCCCTGATGAGGTTGGTATAAGTATTCAGAAAAATAATCTATATAAAGCACGCACTTACACAGTGCTTGGCAAGTGTTGGAGATCTTTAATGTCATATTAGTGGAGATGGAGAAAGTGGACTGTGTTTAGACAAAATCAAGAGGATTTAGCAATTGATTGGCTTTACAGTATGGAAGGAGAAGTCAAGGGTGGCTCCCAGGTTTTAGGTTTAGTAAGCTGGGAGAGAGAGGGGATAAAGAAGGCCTAAAGTTGGAGGAAAGATGGTAAAGCCACTGTCATTTATTTTGATCTTCAGGTGCCTTCGTGTCCTCCACGTGGGAATGTCTACTAGGCAGTATACAAACTCATCTATCAGAGCCGTGGTTGGAGTTAAAAACTCGAGAATTGCCAGCTTATAGAGTATGGAGTGAGAAGAGAGGAGTGACTCCTCTGCCTTCTCCAGCCCATCATTACTGGCCATTTATACATGATTCGTTGTGCTGTAAGCACAGCTTTATTACAAATAATCAGGATTATTAGATTAGTACAAAAAGAATTTGATTTCACCTCTATTCTAAGGAGTTCTAACCAGATAAAATTGATGGTTTTCCTTGTCACTATATACGCCTAAAATTTTCTCAAGAAGTAAAAACAAACAAAGCATATAATTAAGTAATGTTATAAAAGCAATTTTAAATATTAATCAAGAATTACCTCAAAAATGCCAGAAGGAAGTTTCTTCTCCTTTTGAATAAACAAACAATTCATTTTTTAATCTCAAAGACAATGTAGGGTGAATAAAACAAGCTGCAGAGGGATATATTTGATATAATACCAGTATAATAATAATAATAATATATAAATTAATAATATAATATATAAATTCCCCATATATACAAAACTTTAAAAATATATTGTTTAGGCCAGGTGCAGTGACTCACGCCTATAATCCCAACACTTTGGGAGGCTGAGGCGGGCAGATCACAAGGTCAGGAGATTGAGATCATCCTGGCTAACACCGTAAAACCCTGTCTCTACTAAAAATACAAAATATTAGCCTGGCGTGGTGGCGGGTGCCTGTAATCCCAGCTACTCGGGAGGCTGAGGCAGGAGTATGGCGTGAACCCGGGAGGCGGAGCTTGCAGTGAGCCGAGACTGCACTACTGCACTCCAGCCTGGGTGACAGAGTGAGACAATGTCTCAAAAAAATAAAAATTTTATATATATATATAAGTTTATAGGTACATATATTTAGCCAGAAAATAACAAAATGCAAAAACTTATCAACAAAAAAATGCATAGTCATGGTTACCATTTTACAGGAGGAAAAGATCTGTAATTATTGAAGGGCACAAAAAAATGTACAGGCTTTGGAAATGTTCAATTTCTGAAGTTGATGGTTGGTTCAAAAGTATGTGTTTTATTATTTATTACTCTTTATGTAAATTATAAAATAGGTTATTAGTTTATCTCTTGAAATTCTATGAATATTGCCTCCATATAGGGGCAATAGAATATCGTAACTGTTTTTTTCATCTGAGGAACATGCTTTGAGAAGATAAGTAACTGGTTAAGGAATTATCATTGAATGGCAGAGTGTTATAACTCAAAGATCACAATATATATACTATACACAGTGCCTGTTTTTCCTCTGAAATTAGAATGAATGTAGACATATAAATATTTAGGATTTCTAAAATTAAGACAACTGAAAATCAAAGAAAATTTTAAACATATTTACAAGGGGGTTTAGGACTGAAATGGGACTCAGAGGTCATTTGGTCAATGGAAACACAAGAGACGTCATGTATCTTCCCCAAGGACAAATAGCCAAGGACACATGGTTCACTTGTGGCACAAAAGGGACTGAAAACAAAATCTCAAGACTCCTGGTCTACAACTCATTAATATACAATAGTCTGCGTTCTTTAATAATATTCTCTTCATTTTCTTTTCCTTATTTCATGGTTTTTTCTTCCCAAGGGGAGTGGAAAATTTGAAAAATGTAAAGAGCGTTGAACAAATTTTTTTTTCTTCAGAGATCTGTAAAACAAAGTGAAATTTACAGATGAACTTGATCACACTAACAGGCTTTAAATATCCTGTTTATCCCAGGTTTTAATACAATGGGTCTTTCATAATTTTTAAGAGGTATGTGGAAATCGTAAAGAGTTATTGCCAGCCTGTTACGGAGGAATGTTTTTTCTTAGACAGATAAGAATCAGGTTAGTATTTGCGGTGCCAGAAATGAGATAAAATTTCACTTCAGAACTTGAGCTGTGTTGATCTACCTATTCTCATTTTATGTAGCCATTTATAGCAGTCAGGGTCAGCAAACCGATCTGCTGCAATTACTTTTCTGCCATCTTAAAAACGTGATCGCTCCTAAGTGGTGCACATGACATTCAACAGCACCGCCAAATGAACTGGCCACACTAACGGCAACACAAATGTACCTGCTTGGCAAAATGCTGCATATTTTTCCAAGGAAATAAGGCAATTATAAGGCTTCTTTTATAAAGTCAGGTATTTTCAGTAAATGGTATTTGACCTAAGGTGAAAGCCCTATATTTGATTGGAGTATGGAAACTCTTCATTTTTTCCCTTTGCCCTACTTACATTTATTTTTCATAGAGTTTATGGCAGAAATGTTGTATTCCAAGCAGCAAAATAACACTTTCCTTTTGACCTCCTGATTTTCCTACTGTTAACTTTTATAATAACTATTGCAAGTTATGAAAAGTACCATGTTTGTTCCTTGGCCAGCACTGACATTTATTTTGGGAAATTAAAGAAAGTGAATTCAATTTATGTATATACATACTTCAACTTCCATTTTGTTAAAACGTTTTCAAAGAAGACATTTTTCTTGAGACCAAACTTACCAACATCCTTCAAATTATGTAAGTTCAGTTTTTCCATATTCGAAGTGAAAAACTGGATTTGCAGATAAAGGCTTTCACAGTAAGTCAGTACTCTGACCGTGTAATAAGATAGAAGTTCTTGGGTTGCATGCTATTCAACAATCTCACCAAACACATCTGAAACCTGAAACCTGGGACAGGTATGAATTTCTGGAAGACTTTGGCAAAGATAGACCACACCTGTTCCAGCTTCTAGTAAAATAAATCACAGTTGTAGAAAGAATTGACCATTAGCAGTAAGAATATCCTTTAGTGCACTTTCTCCTATTCAAAGTGAAAATCAAAACATCAGCTCTTTTCTGCATGTCTTCACTCATATGCAAGTTTTTCTCTGTTTTTATGAACGCTGTCTCTTATATATGACACATAGTTATACTTACTCTACATCCCTTAATTGTCTTACCAGTGTCAACTAAAGATATTTAAATTATATCGGTAAGTTTCAAAGTGTTTAGATATGCTGAGACAAATGCCAGTACTATATAGTTATTTGGGATTAAGGCTTGACTAATGTAAATCTCTCACTCAGGTTTTTCGTGTTCATGATGAAAAGTTGAAGAATAAAATGACAGAATGAGAAATATACAAACATTTTTTATTTTAGTACTGCCACCTATTGTATCACAGTGATCACCAGTGGGGTTACATAGCTTGATTTCTATTTGACATTCCTTTACGAGAAGTGATGGTAGAGGCCAGAAATAATTCATAAACGGAACAGTTAATTTCACTCAAACATTTCTTAGGGTACAAAATTAAACAGGATCATTCGGAAAATAAAACACATTATTCCAAGCAGCAATTTTGTTAAAAAGAAAAAGAAAAAAAGAAAGAAAAAAAAAAGACTAAGTACTAAATCTTTAGCATAAATTTAATTTGTCACAGCAACCTTTTAGGATCTATGCCTCAAATACATCAAAGTTAATAAAGGCATATTATAAAACAAAATTGCAAAAAAATCATGACTCATTATATTCATGATTGAACATTTACATGATTACTATATAAATCATTCTTTTTAATGTATCTGCCTTTATAGTTGGTCCATTAAAATATCTATATAAGTAGTATTTTACTATATCACATACCTAGGTACTAACTCACACAAAATGAATGTCAAATGCAAACACTGTCAATAAGAAATACCCAGACGATTAATGTAACATATTTAGTTACAGATATCCCAATTACTCTGAATTAATAATTATACTTGTATACAGGTATCAAAATATTACATGTATCCCCAAAATGTGTACAACTATTATAAATAAACAACAAATAAATTAAAAATGATTTTTTAAAAAGCTATCAGTACCTGTAGACAGTGATTAATAGGTGTAAGTGAAAGAAAATGTCTGAACAAGGTAGCCTAATTTTTTTAAAGTTTCTTCATTATACAATTTGTGTTTCTCTTTACTGACACCCATTCTGTTGAGTAGACTATTTCACTATGAAGGAAAGGTAATAGCCAACAATATCTATTTTCTTTTTTTATTATTTCTTATTTCTTAATTATAATAAACCAATACAAACTTTACTACAAGGATTAAAACATTTTAGTTGAATTGTTTAAGCATCATAGTTGGTTATGGAAACAGAGAAACTTCTTTAGATGCCTTGCTTAAGGGAATGTCCTTGCTTGTCTCCCTATAATTCCTTCTGCAAGTGCTCAGTCACAGAGCCTTTATTGTTGGCACTATTTCCTTCTTTTAAAAGCATTTGGCTCATCCTCAAACACGCAGTTTTTTATATAGCATGTTTGAAAGGTCGAATGAAAGTCAGAATGTCAATATATTTATTGGCAAAATGACAACAACCTATTACCTCTGCTGAAGCACTTTCATTTTCTATTGGGAATTCTGTGTGATTGTGTTTGTCTTGCAATTTGTTTTATAAGAGCCATTTAAAGAAAAAAATAATTGTGCACAACCTAAAATTCTCAAAGTTTCCCCAAAGCATTGGACCTTTATATACTTTCTGCCAGCCATAAGTGAACTACTGACTTACTCTTAGGAATTACTCTACTGAGTACTCCAGATTATTGGCCCCATTTAAACCATAGGCACTTCTGTTACACTTCCTCATGACCTAAGTTTTTAGGGAGATAATTGAAGACATATGAATTTGCTTTTGCCTGTATTTTCCTAAATGCCATTCTAAAACCGTCGTCGTCTTTCAAAAATTTAAAAAAAAAAAAAAAAAAAGGCAGTATGCTAGACAGTGGCAGCAATGCAGCAATGCGCAAGAGTCCTAGCTCATGACCTCAGTTTATACTGACTACTGGGGAACATAAAACATTTAACTAGTAAATTACAGTAAAGTGTGATTTTTTTTTAAGACTGAAAGCCCAGAATATTCTAAAAAGACAGATGGGGGGAGGTGGTGGTGGTTAACTTGGTCTAAATGTGTTGGAAAGGTCCACTAAAGTAATTTTTAAATGTAATAATCTGAAGGGATCCATTGAGAGGAAGGCAGCCAGGCAAAGAGGGAAAAGAGTTACTGAAAGAATGTTACAGGCAGAGAAGAGACCGTGTGTGGAAACCCAGAGTAGAGAGAGCACGGGAAGTCTCACAGAGCTGAAGTCCAGTATTTCTGGAGGGCAACCCAGGATGAGATGCTGGAGTAGAGAAACTTGTAAAACTATGTTAAAGATATCAGACAACCACTGAAGAGTTTAATGAGTGTTTCACAAGGTCCCTCTCATTGAAGCATAGTCCAAACAGTGGAATGAATGGTGAAACATGTGGATAATTTATTTTTGTCAGGAAGAAAGTTTGAGTACCTACTCCAATTAATTTTAATGTATTTATTTATATATAAACTATATAGTTGCATTTTGTTGGCCAATATCTC